TGTGTGTGTGTGTGTGTGTGTGTGTGTGTTGTACTCTACATTTGCACCATCGTTATTATTCATTTTTTAAAATTATTATTATGTGTTTTATTTTAGTATCTTAGGGCTGCTAAAGTTGTGTTACCTGATACAGTTTTAAAATAAAAAAAATATTTAAATGGTACAATAATTTATTTATTTGCATTTATTTATGTAAACTCTTTATTTTACTTTAATAAAATACAATTAATTAATTAATTTATTAATTAATTTATTTTAGAGGCAGGTTTATTGTTTAGATAGATAGTTTGGAGTCATAAAAAATATTATTATTATTTATTCATTTTATTCTTTTATTTTTTTTTGTTAACAGGCATTTAGTTTTTGTTAAAGACAAATCAATCAAATACAATTAATTAATTAATTTATTAATTAATTTATTTTAGAGGCAGGTTTATTGTTTAGATAGATAGTTTGGAGTCATAAAAAATATTATTATTATTTATTCATTTTATTCTTTTATTTTTTTTTGTTAACAGGCATTTAGTTTTTGTTAAAGACAAATCTCAGAATTTTGTGCTACTAAAGGGTGTCTGTGTGTGTGTGTGTGTGTGTGAACTTTTGACAGAAACACACCAAACCCCTAAACAGATAAATCTGTTTTTTCGAAAGCCAAACGTTCATGGGAATTTTCTGAATAGCATTTGTAAAAACGTCCTACGTTTGTCTTTGCTCAGAGATTCGTCATGCTTACAGATGACTGTGTGAAAGGCTTCAAGAGACGTATTTGATGCCAGGCAGTGCTTCGTGTACAATACTCTGTCTGCTTTCATTCACCAGGCCAATAGAAGCTCCACTTTCACTCTCTCATAATAGCTGCTTTGGGACAGGACTTGGCAAAACTCCTGCTGCCCCACCCTCCCTCCCACTGCCCTTTGTCTTACAGGCAAGATTGATGATCCTTCAGGAAGCTCTTCACGCCCTGACTGTCTCTGTGGTTTTTGTTCATCTTAAACGTGGTAATTGCAAATGGCATGTGTTTCCTGAACTAAAGATACCTCAGCTGTCTGTGAAAGAGTTGATCTCATTTACATTAGACCACCCTTTGCCTCGAACCCACTGGTGGCTTTTTCACCACTGTGAATTAGGTGGATTTGAAAGAGTCAACTCTGCTTTACAACTGACAGCTTGGCGTTTATCTCAGAGACCACTAGGGGGATTTGTAACTTTTATTTTAGCTTTTGCTTCTGAAGTGCTTGGGCTATGTCCAAGTGCCAGAATTCATCTGCATTTTTTCCCCTCCATCTAGATGAGGGATTTTGGTTGTTTTCAGTCTGTATTTTTCTCCTTGCTCTTCTTTCAAAGCTGTAGAAAGGTTGAGGAGATAAGGAATATTTAGATGTCCTGGTCCACATTGGCCCTTGCTGGTTGTTACTGGGAGCAGAGATGACCTTTAATTGCCAGGTGGTTTGGGCTGGGTGTGTGGAAGCCTGAACTGAGGTGACAGCCCTGTCGCTCTTTACAGAAGCAGAAGAGCTAAAGTGATGACCTTTTCCCACATTCAGCTGCGCTTTATAGAGGAGATTTATCTGTCAGGTCTGCACACCTCTTTCCCTTGTCTCTATTCTCAGTTTCATCCTTCTTTCTCTCTATCTCTCTCTCTCTCTCTCTCTCTCTCTCTCTCTCACTCGTCCAAACCCGCCCCCTCACATTTATCACCTTCATCGCCCTATCTTCATCCCTGGAACTCACATAGCCACGGCATGATATCCTCATCCTTGAGCCGGAGGTAATGCACAGGTCCAGTTTTATGTCCTTGCACGATACAGGTATAGGCTTTTTAGCGGTTTTCTGGCAGGACGGTAATGCTTCAGTCGTGCCGACGGGATGTTGGCAGAGGCTTGTGGGTGAGCTTGCAGCCACAGACAGACGTGCCTCTGAACCACTCAAACAATATGGATAGAGAGATAGAGAGGTATTGTTCGTTTTTTTTCTTTTTCTCCTAGGGTAGGGACATGGTGACTGCTGCTCTACCTTGACATCATTCACACTGCCTCAAGGAAATGTCACGTCTCAAAATAGGAAAGACAGCCAGATGAGTGTAAATGTCCCAGTGGTAACACTCAGGATTCAGACTGACCGCACATGAAAGAAATGAGCATGGTCTCGTTTATGATAGAATGAGAATATGCTGTTCTATATTCCTTGATAGTAAATATGAAATCTGTTCTATTGACTCAGTATTTAATAAGATATTTATTGGAAATGAACTCAAGTTCAAAAGTTCAAAGTTCAGTTACGATTGAACCAAGTGGAGGACGTAATTATAAGGGCACATACACATGTATAGGGATTTGTAAGATATATA